TCCGCCTTCAGCTTTGAAATTTCAGTACAGGCGATGCCGTAGGCGCCTGGCTGCGCTGCGAAGGGCTGTATGTCCGGCGAGATGATGGCGTAAATTTCGTTCCTGCGATCGAGTCTCAGCGTCGGACTTTGGATCCAGAGAAACCCACGTCAGATTGGTCGGGAATAGTCTAGCGCGCTCTTTAGCAGACGCAAGGAATCAAAATATTAGCTCACACGTTACTTGTCCCACTGTCAAATATGATGGTCTGCGGCACTGTCAAAGTTTGGTCGTTAACGACCAATTTAGGGGATTCCAGTCTAGGCGACAATTCATTGACGCTTCAAGCCTAAAAAATAATCCAAAATGACGTACAACCATTCATCTTCGGTGACATTGGGCAGTGAAGCGAATGTCAGATGCCCTGATCGCAGTCAGTTAGGGACTCGAAGGATGAGAAGAAATAAACCATCGAATTTCGTGGTGTCGATTCCGCCGAGAGTCAGTTCAGCGCGTCCGAAGCTTGCAGGAGTGACGAAGAAACTGAACAGGGCTGTTTGCATACAATCAGGTCCGGAAGCGGAACTTTGCGGCGGGAACGGACCAGGTAATCCCTGCTCGACCAAACTGGCAAATATGTTCCCGTCAGAAGAGGATGAACCCAATCCTGCGAAGCAGATACATATAAGAAAGTGTAGCATGAGTGCGATCATGGATTCCTACCCAGAATGCCACCGAAAGGATCAGCTTCAAACGGGGCCGTTTGGTTTATGATGAGGAAGAGAGTAGCGTTCAGCACGGAAAGATCCCCGATATGTACGTTGTCCGAGCCCAAAAGCAGGGTGAGCCTTTCAGGCGTCAGGCTAGTTCGAATAAAAGACGACAGGGAAGCTCACTCCCAATCATCCCCCATGACCGGCGTTACACCCACGCCTGTAAACCAATTATATTAGCGGCCGCTGCAGTTGTAAATCAAGTTAATAAACCTGTGGCAAATATAATGTGGGCTTTTTTCTCGCCATCGATAAAAGTGCTGCTTTTGTTCGGATTGAACATGTCCTGATTGGCGCAGGAGAGGCCACAGAGAGTGGAGGCGAACTCGAGGCTGGTCGATCCAGTGTCAAAAACCACCGACATGGGCTGCGGCGGCGTTCCTATTGAGATATTTCCAAACCATCTGACAAAAAAAAATAAGCATGCGGGGATCTTGCAATACTAGTGGCACGGGCAGCGCGTACTGGAGATCAGTCCCCAGAAAATAATCGTCCAGAGGAACGTTGACGGATTTCAATGCGCGACGCCGAGTTGGGGCGGCAGGGGCGACGCGGGATTGAAGGTGTATCGTCCGCGGGACAGCCTGAGCGAGAACGAGCTCATGAAACACCCCGAGGAGCGCAGAAAGACCCAGGAGCTTGAGATTTAGCATGTTGGGAATCGGTAATTAATAGTTCGTGGGCAAGGGCTGCTTATAAGGCGGCGAGCGATGATCGGGTCAGAAAACATATGGAGAAGCGCGGTGACCGTAGAAGAAACGCATGGAACATGAAAGCATGAAATCTCGGCAAGATTATACTGGGTCTTGACAACATCCTACAACAGCTCCTACAACGTCACTACTTACAACATCCCGTATGGCAACGCGCGGCCATCAATTCCGCCAAACGTACAACCAACACCTGCTTCAAAATTTAATTTGCGTCCAGGTTGGGCGGAACCCGGTCCAGAAATCGGGCAAGGAGGGGCCGGTCCGCCTGGCGGAGCGCCGTGAGAGGGCATTGCGCCGTACCCGTCGCGCCAATTTAGAGGTTGCGTGCGACGGGTTGCCGACCCAAGAACTCGGCAATCAAGAAAACCTGACCTGATACGACCCGTTCCGTCCGGCTTTGAAACAGTTGTTCAACGGGACGGTTTGATGAGGTGACGGTTGAAACAACGGCTAACAACGGCCGTCCCGGCTAAGGTACGGCGCGGGAGAGGCCTACCTATAACGAGACTGGAGAACGCGTGTGAGCTCGGTGAGCAACGGTGTGAGACATACTATTATGTAAATAGGCATGCTTCTGACCTTCCTCCGACAAGGCTCAGCCCGTCAAACGCATTTGATGATAGACCGGTAACCGATCTCTCGTATGAAGACAATCGTTATATGAACGATTGTCTTCATACGAGACGTTGGGGTTGCTATTTTTGGAGCTAATCTTGTCCAAATTGGTGCCGAAAACGGCGCTTTTTACCCGAATTTCAACTTTCCCACCACCAAACAACAACATTCAATATTTACCCGCAGGGCCAGGCATGTGACCGGGTTGTCAAGCACATGGCGGCACTCGGCCGCCTCATCGGACTTATCCGGCCCATCTGAAAACATGAAAACATGCAATCCAGAATACATTTCCTACATAGACAATAAGTACAACGTGTAATTTCATGCTCCTGGTCTGTCGATCTGCTCATTCATTCATCGTCTGCGCCGACGCGGGGTGCCGGCTGAATCCGTCTATGTAAGTACCGGCCACTCCGTTGTCCTCGTCTCGTTTCCTCTCGTCTCGCATCGACCTCCCATCGCGGCGGACCGCGGCCGCAGGTAGCCCACCGGCTTCCGCCGCCGCACTCGCTTTCGCTACTCGGGCACGCCGCGTAGGCCGCACCCCCCTTCCATCTCACTTCCCTTCGCCCCCATCCTCGCTCCCGCTTCTGCTCCCACTGCTCTCCGCCTCGGGCGCAGGCGCCGGGACCACGCCCACGCTCACGAGCCCCACCTCGAGCGGCGGCAGCGGCGCGTCGTCGTCGTCCGCGCCCCCGCCCGCGCCCGCGCCCGCGCCCGCCGCGTACGGCGCGGGCCACGCGCGCGGCAGGTCCGGGACCCACGACGGGCGTTGCGGCTGCGGCGCTGTCTCCGACAGCGGGTGCGGGTGCGGGGACTCGGGATTCGTCGGCGGCGCCGGCGCGTCCAGGCGCAGGCCCGGGAACAGGTCCGGCACGGGCATCGCGATCAGCACCGCGACGCGCACGCGCGGCTGCTCCAGCGCGCGCGCGGTCGTGGTCGTGGTCGTGGCGGCGGTGGTGGTGGTGATGCTGGGCGGCGCGAGCGCCGCTGCGGAGCCCGCTGCGGACGTCAGCCCGGATGCGGGCGTGGATGCGGTGGATACGGCGGAGGGCGCGGACGCGGGGCTGGAGGACGTGCCTGTGGGCGGGATGTACGATGCGGCAAAGGGCTGCGCGGGGCGTTAGCATGGGTATCGGCGCGAATGACAATGGAGAAGACAGAGACGACATGAGGAAGGGTGAATGAAATACACGAGAAAAGACCAAGCGGGAAGATGTGGGCAGCACGAGCGGCGCAGACGAGGAAAGGGAAAGCGAGGGTGGAGGACAAGGATGCGAAGAAAGGAGATGGACAGCGCAGACGAAGGGGACCCACCATAATCGTATCCCACGGCCACTCGTCCCTCTCCTTGCCCTCCTTCTCCACCGGACTCTCCCCGGCACCCGCGCCCGGGGGCGCGAGCCACGCCTGCCACAGGCGCGGCTTGCGTCGCAGGTCGACGCGCGCGCGCGGCGTGGGGGGGATCCAGGTGCCGTTTGCGATGGCCTCGGCGACCATGCGGCGGTGGCGGCGGCGGAGGAGGAGCGAGCGGATGACGATTGCGGAGGAAACGCTGAGGAGGAGGATGAGCGTGGCGAGGAAGGTGTAGACTGTGGTGCGGTGCGATGACGTGATGAAAGTGACGAAGGAAGAAAAGGGGGCAGCGAGGGACGCGAGGCGGGCGGCGATAAGGGCGGCACGGTGGAGGAGTGCGCGGTGCGTGTTCGCAAGCAGGCAAAAATACAAAGAGATCGAAAAATACAAAAAGATCGTGACGGATGAAAAAAGCATCAGATGCGGTTGCCAGCACGGGCACAAGGAACATGGACGCACGGTACAGCTGCGCAGAGGACTGCAGGCCAGGCTGGCCCCCTTGGGCGCCACCGGTCAGCGAGGGCGGGGGGGGCTGCGTCGGGAATGCCGGTGGGGTGAAGGTCTGCGGCTCTACAAAGGAGCTCGTGGACGAAGGGGAGGAGGCGGGGGAGGAGGAGGCGGGAGAGGAGGAGGCGGAGGAACTCAAGCTAGAGGTGGACATGGCGGGTGCTAGCTGGGTGCTGCGGAGCGGGGGAAGACGTGTGAAGGCCTGGTGGCAGGCGCGAGTGCTTGTGTGAGTGCGTGATTGGTCGTCAGGAACAGAGAAGAGGCGCGCCTGCAGTCGATGCTGAGGGCGGCTGCGGCGGCGGGTCGAGGACGGGGGCTGACGCGGGCAGTGGTGAGGGCGAAAGGGAAGGTGAGTAAGCGAGCTGGCATAGCTTCTTTCGTTGCGTCTATTTTGGGATCCATTGACGACAGAATCATGTCATTGTCAGCCTGGTGGAGTGCCAAAGCAAGGCAGCATGGTGCAATGCCCTGCAATGCGCACAGAATGTCCTCGTTCGAATCGAGGTGTTGCCGGTACTTTTCCAGGGAAATCTGTTCTTTTTTTTCATGAACACTTCTGGAAAGCCAGTCTTGCCTTGGTCTTGCCTCGGATCATGAGACTGAATTGCAGTCGGGTCATATCCATGTTCAAAGTCTGCAGTTAGCCAAGGTCAATCTCACATCAAGCGGCTGGTGCACAGGTACTTCAGCCGTGACAAGTAAGCTGGGCAGCATGGTGGAATATGCCGAGTAACATCCGTTAAACACTCGATCCTCGTTCGAATCGCGGGCTGCCCATTTCGTGAGAGCCAGCGATCTGGTAATTTTTTGTCTGCTTGCCTAAAACACCCCCCCCAATCCTTGTACCGCTACGCTTAAGCCCAATGCGTCCGCCCCACAATAAGAGTAATATGGCGCCCTGAGGCTGGGAATTGAAACCTGGACCAGAACAGAAGTCACAATTAAACTTCAAACTCGCGAGCCTGATTTGCCACCCAATGCAAACTCATCATCGTTGCTCATGTTTTCGCTCCCACTTGTGGTACTTTCAGCTGCGACGACAGCGCCAACCCAAGGCAGCATAGTGTATCGCAACACGTTGGGTACGACTAAAGTCGGACTTCGAAATTGCACCGGCCCAGAGTTCCTCGTTCGAATCGAGGTGCTGCCAGTGACTTGTGAATCATACTGTACACATTTTTATTCAAATTCAAATTCAAATTCATTTTTCGAGTTGTGTTCAAGTACTAAAGTACTCAAGTACTCTAGTACGGAGTTTGCACTCAGGCAAGTAATTATGTTGTATAAACTCTCCGCAATGGTCGTCCTTTCAACTTTCGTCCCCGTACGACCGTACCACAACCACTGGCACAGCCCTCAACAAGCCAGCTCCGATCATGACTACTATTAGTCTCTGCAGATCTAGCTAGCTAGCGCGTGGCATTCGGTGTACAGTAAACACTTATCTTGATCAGACCAGTGCATCCAGTCCTTGACCCAACGTGGGGGGGGGGAAAGAAGGCGGCATGGTGCAATGCTACTGGGTGATATTGCCCAAGCCCGGGCCAGAACTCCTCGTTCGAATCAAGGTGCTGCCATATGTGTGTGACTTGTTTTTATTCGTCTTCTTTTATGCGCACATCTGTCAAGCTGGCACCGTCCATTGCGACTCGGATGCTCAGACACTTGGACTTGATTGCACCTCCTGCGGATCAAACTCATGTTCAAGTCAATTAGTCGATAGCATCTAACTTACTGCCAGTGTACTTACATCACCTCGAAGATACAGCACATTACGCGTTCGTGAACACCCATTTCCACTGCAAACACCTATTTTCTGCGTGAATGCCTATTTCTACTCTTTTCTACATACTGTATATCTTGTCTGTTATTTTCGAGTGCCGTTTCGGCTGATTGCCATCTGTTCCGATCACCGATGCCGACTAGACCGCTGTTTTCGGGGTTCTGTTTCCCATTAACGTGCCAGAATGAGCTTCTAAGCCTGTTGGAGCTCGGTATAGCTCCAAGAGTACTCCAGCTCTTCTTTCTGCTGTAACGACACTGCCAAAGCAAGGCAGCTTTGGGGCCATTGACCGTTTGACGTAGTACAGAATCGGCCCAGCCCCAACAATACCAGTTCTGGGTCAAAGTGAGGCAGCATCATGGTGTAAGGTCACACTGGGTATGACTTCAGATCGATATCTTCAGATGGTCACCAATCTTCAACCCAGCGGTCCTGGTTCGAATCGGGGTGCTGCCTGTAATAAAACGTGGTTGGGTTTGCCAAGTGCTTTTTTTAGCAAGTACCTCGTGGCGATTCAGACGAGTACACAAGCACCCATTTCACAGTAGCACTTTCTGTCCGCGCCTGGCTGCCTGAGTTTCAGTGCATGCTTGAAGATGGCCTCCCAGCATAGGGGAAGAGTATCCATCTATACTGGAGCGAGTCTTCCCTGAACAGGCAGCATGGTGCAATGCCGCACATCGGGTGTACTTCAGTGCCTCGTAAAATTAAACAGCTTGCAACTCCGAGTTCCTCGTTCGATGGTGTTGCCATTGCATGGAAACGGTTTCCGTCAGAGTGTTTTGGGGCTTTTTTATGAACACTTCTGGGAAGCCAGTCCCGCCTCTTGTCCCGGATGCTCAGATACTCAGAATCAATCCCACTGCCAAGTTCAATCGCACATCAAGCGGCCGTGGGTGCACATTAAATGCAGTGCACTGTCGACGTTTCGCGGACATGTTCAGAGCTCTGCAAAAGGAGCCGATGTCCGGTGAGCCCGGCCGATCCTGCATTGTTACTGGGCGGAAATTATGCGGTGGCCGATGCGAGCCGCTGGCCCGCTTGAACATAGCTACTAAGTAGACCACAAAAAGTGAAGCAAAAGTCATTAGATCCTTAACTCTAGGCCAATATCATTTTAAACGGAGTCAAGTGAAAGTTTTGGAGGTCGAAAAACGCCTTGAGAGGGGGAAATATGCACGAGAACTTGCATAAGCACTCACAGTTATGTAATTATATAAACTTCAATACAATATATGGTATCCGCATGCACTCAAAATCATTCGTATTTTAACTTCCGCCTGTGGTACTTTCAGCTGCTACGACACCCCAACGCAGGGCGGCATAGTGTATCGCTACACGTTGGGTACCAATGGGAGACAGCAGAGTGAATTGCCCCAAAGCTCGTTCGAATCGAGATGCAGCCCTTCCAAGATGGCCACGGATAAATGATGTTTTATTTGCTTCGAGTTATTTTGACCCCGGGTCTCGCCTTCCGCGGATGGCGACGGTGCCAGGGCCCTGTTCAATGGCCCCACACTGGCCGTTTGACCTCATGCTGTGCTGGAAATAAACCTTCAAAGGTTCATGATCAGTAGAGCCCAAGTAAGCATGGTGTACCACTAGCGGCGCACACTATGTACCATTGAAGAGGTGCTGCTCTACACTAGCCGGGTATAGTTTTATTCTGCTTCAAAATCGAATTTTGTCGTGTACCTCAGTGGGCACGGCAAGGGCAGTTGGACTTCTCAAATAATTATTTATTCACACTACAAAGTGCTCCACAAACTCTCTCCTTGATAGTCGCACAATTCAAGTTTCAACATCCTTCCGGGCCATCGGACCGCCACAACATTACCTCAACCAAGCTTGCCGACGAGTCAGATCATGCCACTGAGTCCTCTGCAGATCTGGCACGGCGGCGGAGGTTGAGCGGACGACAATCGCGGAGGAGATCATGGCAAGAGGCGCGCCTGCAGTGGATGCCGAGGGCGGTGGCGGCAAGGGGGTGGCAAAAAAAAATTAAGCATATCATGCCGGATTTTGCATTAAGCCCTTGGCTTGGGGACCGACCGACCGCACAGCATTACATAATGTCCAAATATAGTAATTTGGCACGTGTTCTTTGTCACCCAACCTATCCAAAATCCGTCGGCCACCCCCGCGCTTGCCTTTAGATTATCCCAAAAGTATTCCAAGAGTTGAAAACCCATAAATGTGTGATTTTATTTTGTTTTAGAAGGATTTGGTCAAGGATTGACCGCCTATTAGTTGGACATTGATATGACGCTATTCCCGCTATCTCAAGCCATTCGGCCCTCTTTTCTTGTGCACGCGTAGCGTTTCCAGCCTGGCAGAGGATCGGCCGCGGGGGAATGCTCTTTCTCGTGTTGTCAGCGGACGTGGAGAGAAAAAAAGAGGCACTGCCTCCTGTCACTCAGGAAACTGGACATCACTTTCAAGTCCCAAAACGGATGATCCTTGTCACACCCCTATTTTAGCATGGATAAAGGCTTCGGAAGGTAGACATCATACTCTATAACATTCCAAATGACCTCGGGATCCCCGGAGATCAATGCCCTGACCACTTGAAAAAAATTTTTTAAGGGTCCCCAGAGGGGACCGACCGACCAGCATGATATGCCGAATTGCTCACGTGACACCCCCTTGGGTGGCGGCGGCGGCGTCGGTGGGTCGAGGACGGGGGGTGCGGGCTGACGCGGGAGTGGCGAGGGCGAAAGGGAAGGTGTGTGTAAGCGAGCTGGCATAGCTCGTCTAGGACTCTCTAGGCTCGTCTTTGGGATCGACGACAGAATCATGTCAGACTTGTCAGCCCGGTGGAACCGTGGAGCGGTGCCAAAGCAAGGCGGCATCGTGCAATGCGGCACAGATGTCCTCGTTCGAATCGAGGTGTTACCATCGTTAGTAATTGGTCTTGTTTTTATGAGCACTTCTGGAAAGCAAGTCCTGCCTCGGATCAAGATGCGACAGCCTCATATTCATGTTCAAAGTCTGCAGTCAACGGCAGCCAATGTCAATCTCACATCAAGCGGCCGGGTACTTCAGCCGTCACAACTGTGTCTAAGCCGAGCATGGTGGAATATGCCGAGTAGTAACGTCCGTTAAACACTCGATCCTCGTTCGAATCGCGGGCTGCCCTTTTCGTGAGAGCCAGCGATGTGGTAATTTTTTGTCGAGCACTTCAGTTGCTTGCCTAAAGCACCCCCCAATCCTTGTACCGCTACGCCTTAAGCCCAATGCGTCCGCCTCACACAATAAGAGCCTGATTTGCCACCCAATGCAAACTCATCAGCTGCGACGACAGCGCCAACTTAAGGCAGCATAGTATATCGCAACACGTTGGGTACGACTATGGTCGCCATCTAAATGATGATCGAATATTGCACCGGCCCAGAATTCCTCGTTCGAATCGAGGTGCTGCCACCACCGAAATACCGTACACATTTCTGTTCTGTTTCAAATTCAAGTTCATTTTTTGAGTCTCGTTTGGGTACTCCATTCGTATGGAGTTTGCAGACTTTTAGGCAAGTATTTGCCATCACAGTGCTGCATAAATTTTCCGCAATGGTCGTCATTTCAACTCGTCCCCGTACCACCACCACAGCCCTCAACCAAGCTTTCCAGCTCCGATCATTTGACCAGTCCCTGCAGATCTGGCTAGCGCGTGGCACTGCTGCCAGTGTACAGTAATCACTTTGGGACAGCGGGCAGCATGGTGCAATTTTAAAGCTGCTGGCTTTGGCAAGCTGGTTCGCCAGCTCGCCACAAGCCAGGGTGGCGTGCCATGGCGAGTGGCGGTCCAATGATGTTCGGGGGTGGCTCCCGCTTTGGTTTCGGGATCCAAGTTGGTCATTAGCCAATTTCGTACAACAATGCATTAAAATATCATAGTCCATGTACATGTGCAAGCAATAAAAGGATCTTCCTGCAAGACTGATGGCTGCGCCGCAGCCGCCGCTGCGGCATCGCAAGGCGGTGAAAGACATGTCACTGATGGGTGGTGACATTTACGACTTTGAGATCATAAAGAAGGCACTCAACAACATTGTGCCCCGGGCATGTACTTTAATTTTTGCGCATTTTTTTTGGTGTAGGAATATTTCTTAATTGGTTCGGAACGAGCCGGCCCGAAAAAATCACATGACATAAGCTAGGGCCTGGCGAGCTGGTGAATCAAACCAAAAATGAGCTCGCCATGTGCATTAGATTGCACCGCTACTGGGTGATATTGCCCAACCCAGCCAGACCTGCTCGTTCGAATCAAGGTGCTGCCATACCTCTGCAATTATTTCCGTGTGTAAATTGTTTTTATTCGTCTTCTTTTATGCACATCTGTCAAGCTGGCCGGCATCGCCCACTGCGACTCGGATGCTAATACTTGGACTTGATTGCGCCTCCTGCGGTCGGACCATACTATACTCATATGCATGTTCAAGTCAATTAGTCGATGGCATCGGTGGTACATCGCCTCGAAGATACAGCACAGTTCCATTTTCCGCAACACCTATTTTCTGCATATTTCTACTGTTGTTCCCCCCCTCTGTGTAACAGGCAGGGTTCTGTGGGGCTGGAGTGCAATTCCTCCAGCCAACATCGTTGCCGAGTTGGAGCATCAAATTGACATTCAGCCGAAATGCCAACTAAATATCCCTATGTTTCATGGGACCGGAACTCCACCCAGCCGACATTCCGTTCCACGTTTGGAACTCCCGGAATTCAGATTAACACTAGGGCTGATATCCCTAATAGTGACATGCTCGGGAGCACGCACGCCTGTATGCATGCACGCCTGCTCCGTTCCCTTCCGCGCCCACTGCACATATATTGTTCATGCTTGTGCACCCGCGGCGGCCGCATGCGTAGCGCAGCATGAGTGTCATCAAATTTTAAATTGATGGCAGACTGCCGGTGGTCGGTGGCCGACAAGACCGAATGATTGCAGATACGGTGAAGCGAGTAGTTGAGAATCCGAGTTTTTGAATCATACACCATTAGCAGTATAAAAAGAAGTTCCAGATGCAGGGTCAGTCCTTTACTTTTATAGACATAGTATATTTTTTTTATACAGTATACAAAAGTAACCTGAAGCACTCAAAACAAAATTAAACCAGAGTAGGGGACGAGCGCTCGCGCCGCTTTTGATATTTTTGAGTGTCGCTTCGGCTGATCTGTTTCGATCATTGATGCCGACTAGACTGCTATTTTCGGGGTTTTGTTATTGACATACAGATGCCAGAATGAGCTTCTAAGCTTAGTGGCTCGGCATAGCTCCTAGAGTACTCCGACACTGTAGCCATTGACGTACTCAGAATCGGACTGACCCCCAACAATACTTACTGCTGTAAGGTCACACAAGGTACAAGTACAAAAAGTTGCATTGAGCCTTCAGGCTTCAATTCAGACGTTTTGTGATGAGCGAATACCTAGCTAAATTGTAAGTTCAAGTCCTTTTCGAGCCTTGCCAAGTGCTCAAATGCTGCACCTGCAGCGGCCCGGTTCATATTCATGTTCAAAGTGTACAGCTATTCAGCGGCACGCTCAATCTCGCATCAAACGGCCGGTGCGTGCACAGGGACTTCAGCCGTGATAACTGCGTCTAAGCAGGGCAGCATGGTGGAATACATATGCCGAGTGGCGTCCGTTGAGCACTTGATCCTCGTTTGAATCGCGGGATGCCTTTCCACGTGTGGCAGGGGTGAGCTTTTTCATTTTATAATCTTTGTCGAGCATTTCAGTTGCTTGCCTAAAACACCCCCAATCCTTGTACCGCTGCGCCTTAAGCCCAATGCGTCCGCTAGTATTTAATGACAGTCACACAATAAGAGTCGCCCTGCTCGGAAATGAAACCGGGACCGGGTCGCGCAGCAATAGAGGTCACTATGTGGATCGGATCCAGGAATTTGCAAACAAACTTCAAATTCGCGAGCCTGCCAGTGATTTGCCACCCAATGCAAACTCATCAGCGTCGCTCATGTTTCACTCCCACTTGTGGTACTTTCAGCTGCGACGACAGCGCTGACGCAAGGGCAGCATAGTGTATCGCAACACGCTGGGTACGACTGTCCCGCGCAAATTGCACTCAGATCTAGTTCCTCGTTCGAATCGAGGTGCTGCCATACTGCTGCCATTGACTCAGAGTTATGACGGAGTACCGTGCACATTTTTAATCTGTTTTAAATTCAAATTTATTTTTCGAGTCTTGTTCAAGTACTCCACTCGTACGGAGTTTGCACTTCAGGCAAGTATTTATCACAGTGCTGCATAAACTCTCCGCAATGGTCTTCATTTCAACTTTCGTCACCAACCACAGCACTCAACCAAGCTTGCCAAATCCGATCATAACTAGTCCCTGCAGATCTGGCTAACGTTTGGCATTGGTGTACAGTACTCGCTTTCTTCTGCCCGTCTCAATCGGACCGCCTGTGCGCAGTGCAGTCCTTGAGCTCCCTGCGTGGGGGGAAAGAAAGCAGCATGGTGTAATGCTACTGGGTGATATTGCCAGTGAAGACTGCAAACCCTGGCCCGAGCTCCTTGTTCAAATCAAGGTGCTGCCATACATCGGTGAGAAGCAAATTGTTTTTATTCGTCTCCTTTTATGCGCACATCTGTCAAGCTGGCACCGCCCATTGCGACCCGGATGTTCAGACACTTGGACTTGATTGCACCTCCCGGGCCTGCGGTCATGTTACAGTAAAGTCAATTAGTCGATAGCATCGGTGGCCCGTACATCGCCTGGATGCGTGTTCGTGAACACCCATTTCCCCCGCAAACGCCTATTTTCTGCATGAATGCCTACTTCTACTATAATTTTGTTGTAATTTTCGAGTGCCGTTTAGGCTGATGGCCGTCTGTTCCGATCACCGATGCCGACTAGACCGCTGTTTTCGGGAGAGTGACATTTTCGGCTTGCAAGCCCGTTTGTTGGCTTGGCAAGCCCGTTTGCTCGCTTAGCCGAGAAACGGGCTTGCGCATATTTCTCATCCCCCTCAACCTAGTTTCTCAATCTACATCATGTACTGCAAGTACATACATCTATGGCTTGCGATTTTTATAAAGTATTGTTCACTGATGTCATGATATGCCATCGCCGCAGAAGACAACACTGGGCAAAATTGTCATTTCAAAGCACGGGCTTGTCACACTCAATACAGTCCTATCATCTCTATACATGAAAGGGTTTCTCAGAACACACATTCCTGGTGTACTGGAGCCAATTTTTTGTGACACATTAGTATAAGTTGTTGAAATGACTCAAAATTTTATTACATTAAGCTAATGCCAACTTGTCTATCATACTATCACTCAGAGGTATCCATGTGCTGTAACCAAGCCATTCAGAAGAAGACAAATAGACTGAACACGGAATATGCCGAGATCGCAAACACTGTTTTAGCTATTGTTGAGCACGGAATAGTCAAAAGTCGAGGCGCCTGGCTCCACTCACACCTGCCGGCGGCCGCCCACTGTGCGTACCCGTTGCACCAGTTTATGGGTTCACGGGCTTTGCCGTGCGACAGGTAGCCGACCTGTTCGGTCGGGCCAGGTCGGGCCTTGAAACAGTTACTCGACGACAGCCGTTGTCACGGCATGTGCTGTAACCAAGCCATTCAGAAGAAGACAAATAGACTGAACACGGAATATGCCGAGATCGCAAACACTGTCACAAGCTTTCCAGAAGAGGTATGGCATCGACTTTTGACTATTCCGTGCTCAACAATAGCTAAAACAGTGTTTGCGATCTCGGCATATTCCGTGTTCAGTCTCTTCTTCTGAATGGCTTGGTTACAGCACATGCCGTGACAACGGCTGTCGTCGAGTAACTGTTTCAAGGCCCGACCTGGCCCGACCGAACAGGTCGGCTACCTGTCGCACGGCAAAGCCCGTGAACCCATAAACTGGTGCAACGGGTACGCACAGTGGGCGGCCGCCGGCAGGTGTGAGTGGAGCCAGGCGCCTCGGCGCGGTAGTAGGACTTAAGTTGCGTTTCAGGCCAATGTAATGCCGCTTCGCCCATCTCCGTTTGCACCTGCACCTGTGTCACGTGAAAAAGAGCAGTGATTTGGCAGGGCATCCGACGATTGAACCCTTTCTTGTTACACAGAAGAGTAGGGATGCACCTAACCAAGATGTGTTTTGACAAGACGGTAGACCACTGCTCCACACTGAAGTGTTTCACAAATTAGGGGATCAATATATTGCTGGGAAGCCGGCCCTAGTTGCCTTATGCGGTTATAGAAATGATTCTAGAAGGTGGAGCAAAGTGGAGTAAAAGTTCTGCGATTTGGCTGAGGGTGCGACATTTCATGCCCACAGAACCCTTCTCTGTTACACAGAGTAGGGGATCTCTCGTTTGATGTCTGGGCTAGCCTTGATATTGGTGTGCCTGTCCTGATGATGGCAAAAGGTTGATATATATTTGTACAAATGGCCGTGCAGATGGCACTTTAAATACAATTGATTGATCAACATCTTATCTACCCGATGTCCACATCACGGCCATCTGGTAACTCGAATTCGAAAACGAACCGCGACCGTCTCGCCTACCGTACTCTCGGACTTTTGAATCTCCAGACTCACGGGTTTCAGACTTCCGTGTTTCTGGTTCACGGGCTTCAGACTCGCGGGCTTCAGGCTTCAGCGGGCTTCTTTAGCGGCGGACTGCGTCGACTTGAAACATCTGCACGAAAAGTAGACCTCTACTATGGACCTAGACTCATTCAGGGATGCGAATGGATAAACTCGACTAGATCTTTCATGGACTTTTCCTTTATTCCATCCGGTTCGAAATGTAGCTCGTGGTAGCCACCCTGCAAGACGTTTGATTATCTCGAGTATGCTGTACATTGGGAGCAACTCACTTCGTAAGCGATAAACTTCTTGTCTGTCGCCGGCAGTTTGTCGAACAATGCCTTTGTGCTCGAATAGGACACGATCTTGATGTGGGTTAGGGCGCATTTAGCAAGACAGCTATTAGTCTACCGGGTCGGCGTCGCCGTGCAAAAAGAGGACCTGGAGAAACGTTTGATTAGGAAATTGAGTCGGAATACGCGAACGTACGGGGAGATCTTTTGGCCAATTCGCGTACCGAGACGCCAACAACATACCACCCTGAGCCAATGTCAACGTGCGGTACTTGAATTGAGACAGCGCACCTCTTCAAGCATGTAGTACAATCCTTTTAAACTGCCAGGCGTGCGGATGAGAGGATCTTCGTTGTACGCCTTGCCCGACTCAGGGTTACGCGAGAGTTCCTGAACAGCGTTGTAGGAGAAAGGGGATTTATGGACCACAGACTCACCTCAGTCTTATTTCGGATTGGATACACCATCCATGGGCTCACACGTACAAGTTGGCGGAATATCCACTTGAGGGGGCCCGAGAGCGGTTTGGCTAGCACAACGGTCGTGCTGCCCCCGATGACACCGTGTACAGTCTTCACTGCGGGATTATTCGCGCGCGCAGGGTCGCAGTGCAGTCCTACTACAACCCCGCCGCCCTATATGCAGGTCTGGTCAGCCGCCTCGCATGCGAATCGCACCAAACTCCCACGCACCAGCGAGGTGCCCATAGTAAACAGGGGAAGCGCTTCCCCGAGCTCCTGGTTCGCCTCTAGGATCGCCCACTCCAGGTCGTCGAGCTGTTCCGGCCACCACGTCCTGCCGTACGCCGAATCCGGGCTCTTGTGCTCCGTGTCCGCTGCAGTGCGGCCGAATCCGCGCAGGTCGAAGGCGAACACAGAGATACGGTGCTCTGCGGCGAGCTTGGTGTGCATTTCCGTGTAGCGCCCGCAGTGCTCCGCCGCGCCGTGCACGAACACGAGAATGGCGAGCGGGTCCGGTGCTTTGTACAGGCGGGTGTAGAACTCGGTGCCTTCGGGACCCGTCCGCCAGCTCTCGGTATATGCTGGAGAGGACATGGTGGCTTTGCAAACTCCGAGTCGCTGTCATGTGACGAAGCCGAAGCACCCGTCTACAGGTTAAAAAAGGCAAAAACGGGCGAATCTTGCACAGACTGGCTGTAGAAATGATTGTTCTCGGTGTCTAATATCTTCACTCTTTCTTCTGACCCTGTCCCCTGTGGATGTCGCGCTCGCTCGTCGTGTGGCGTGCCCTGACGGCAATACAGCAGCCTGCTGCTGTAACAATACGCACTCACTTACATAATATCCTTATTGTTCTATGCGATCCGTGATCGCCGTTGACTTGATCTCCGTTGTTTCCCTTTATTTACTTGTCCATAGTTTATATACGAGGGCTGTACGTAGTTAGTTCTTTGGTCAATACTATCACTACGCCACTCACCTGCTGGTCCGACCTCCCAGCAACCTGAACATCTTGTGCCGAAACTAGCCGCCGACTTTTAGCCGACTGCTCTTCGTCACATCTTTTTGAGTGCTCGAAACTCTAGTCACTGCTTTATTGGTTAACCCCTGGTCTGATCAACCAAGACTACCATTTTGTGGACGACTTTTTGCTACCAAAGAACTCTAGAACTATTGCTATGGACAACAAGAACCACCACACCCGCGCGGCTACCAGAGCCGGCGTGTACCCCCCTCCTCCACCTGTCTTTGGCCCGGCGGCGTTGTCGTTTGGGTCTATTCGGGCTGGGGAGATGGAGGCGCTTCCCGTTGACGTAACGAGGAAGTCGCCTGTAGCCTCTGTAAAAGGAGGCTCCCGCACTTCGGTGTCGGGCTTATCCGTTGCTTCGGCAGCGAGACCCGTTGCTTCGGCGGCGAGACCCAGCGTTGCTGGCGTTCCTTACATACCTACCTACATACTCTCGAGGCCGCCATCGGCTTCTGAGGGCATGGCCGAGCAAGGAGCGCCTGGCGAGGCATACGCGACGGTCGAAAACGGGCGTGATGGGAGCTGGACTCCTGTCACCCGTAAGACCGCGCGATCGCATCGCGAGCGCCACAACTCCGAAAGGAGCAAGAGCTCCCGCACCTCCGCGTCTGAATCAGAAGCCCCGGAGTCGTCCGACGATGAGTCCACCGTCGCGCAAGCAACGCGTGAATTAAGTGTTGAAGAATTGGCGACACTTGCACGTCGCCACGAAGCGTTCGCAGTGCAGCTGCGTGCAGAGATGGAGCGAAAAGCCGCTCTTGACACCA